ATTCAAGAAAAAAGCGTCCTTACTTTCCCAGTTGCTGCGAAAACATCTTCGAAGAAGAAGAACTTTCAGAGGTGTCAAAGTAGAGGCTTCGCGCCTTAAGACGAGACCAATCCGATTGCTATACGATCTCTTCTCTCGGGAAGAGAACTTATAGCAGTCTAAAGTATCGACAATTTTTCGTCGAGTCCAATTCCGCGTCTCCTTTTAATTCTTTTCTTCTTTTTCCTTCTTCTTGTCAATTCGTGCATCGAACAACGCGCTGTACGTCATCCAATTAAATTTTCCTCGATTACTAAAAATGTTGACCTGAAGCTTGACCCAATATTTAAATTTGAACCTTCAGTTTCAAAAATACACCTGCTTGGATAACTCTCTAAATTTCTTCATTTATTCTCGAAGACGAGACGAGCGCGAGGGAAATTTTTATTGCAAACCAATACTCGATTGGTATCATCATTGTGCGAAGCAAGCCGACGCTAAATTTAAACCTATTCCTCGCGCAAACGCTACGCTTTAGTCATCTCTAACTGCCACGTTAAACCTATCGATGCATTTCGTTTCGCCAAACCGATTTCCTCGCTCGGTTTTCTAACGATTTCAAGAACGACGGGATAATCCTAGAGAAATTTATCAGCTCGAAGCGAAGGAGAGAAAAAGAGAGAGAAGTGATGGTCCTTTCCTGGCAGTACCAATCTCGGAAGCTGAATTCGCTGGCTACACAGAGAGCCAGCGAAGAGGAGAAGGAACGAAAGAACTTCTAATATCTGCTAGAAAGACGGGGCACATAATCTTCCGGGAAGGATAAACCCGGTTACCGGTCAGGATTTCGAAATACGTCCCGGGAACGTCGTCCGCGAGATTACTTGACCAATCCGCATCGAGCTGCACGGTACAAAGGAAATTGTTTGCGAACACGGGACCTCGGAACCGCGGTTTAAATCGCTTCGATAATACGAGGAGTCGTGTATTATTATCTTCTCTTTCTTCTGTTTTTTACTTTTTATCTTTGGCGATAGAAACGTTGCAATAAATGATACAGACGTGAGTGTTTGTTGGTACTTTGGAACTGTAGAATTTCTGGAAAATGTAAATTGCTGTCTAACTAATTCATCCTCGACGTGTTCCTCCAGGCACGTGACCTTTTCTAACAAGGGTTGATTTTGTAGTGATTACGATGATTTATATTTATATCACAATACTACAAATAAATAATAACACCGTAATTAATTTCGATAGTTTATATAAAAATATCATCAATGTAACAAAATATATAATTACTAATAATTTAATAAAGATTACATAATGGAAGTTAAATAACGAATGAAGAATTTCTACTATGGCTACAATATATATATATATATAAGCGTCAGTAAACATTTCCATGGTGATAATAAAATTAATAGCTATTTTTAAATATTCTATTGTTTGTATTAAATACACATCTCGACGGAACGATTTAATGAACATAGATATCGTTGATTCTAAATACTTCAAAGTAGAGATCGCTACAATGCTTTCAAAATTGAGAAAGTTTCCATTATTTTTCCATCTTTTTACGTAACAGAATCTGGATAATAAATAACAGAAGTGTTGTTATTAGCAGTTTGAAAATGTAATGTTTAGGGACTGGGTTTCAATGACATTTGAAAGAATATTTTTTTAAATTGACAATGCATGATAAATTCAACATTTGAAATTGAGACGCGTTTGAAATTGAGAAATAAATTTGCTCGGCGTCTGGCTTCGATTTGTTCGAGAAATATAATAGAATAACGATAGAAGATATATGTATAATAACTTATCGGTGGATTGTTGAAGAATCGTTAAACTAATGGACAAATTAAAACTTACGCTCACGTGTCAAAAAAAAAAAGAGAAAAACGAAATGAAATATTGATTAAATGTATCGTTAATTCTACGACATGTATTAATATGTGTTATTTTCGTACGTAAATAATACATATTAATTTGTAATTGCAAATTGACGCCACGATGAAATTTAATAAACAGCGAAATTTATCGAATCGCATATTCGATATTCTTCGCGTTCAGCAAGAACGAACGATTGTTTAATTTATTACGCCTGTAACTCGATTGATGCGAAGTAAACGGAATTTTGACGTTTCGGAATATAAACTATTGTTCTACTTTGAATAACCGTATAAATATGCAACGACCAATATCGAGTCGAAAGGCCACCCGAATGAAATCTTGCGTGACACGAACAAATTTCATTTCGACCGAGCGAGTCCTTTGGAAATTCCATTCGCGCGTAAGCTTGCTAAATAAACAAACAAACAAATAAATACGAAGGAAATGTTTTAAACGAGGATCTCCCCACCCCTTTCGAAACGTGTTGGATGAAAATATTCGAGGAAACGAGGAAACAACGCGATGTCCAAACACATTTGAGGGATGTGATGAAACGTGTGTGTGTGTGTAACATTAAATTCGCTCGATTCAACGTATTTAGAACACGTGGCATTAAACGAAAAAAGTAACATTCGCTCTCTTGTTTCTCGCATGGAATAAAATTTCCATCCGTTTGGCGGGGCCACGTCCTTTTGAAAATTCATGTCAGAAAGTCACGCGTCTTTCGTCAAAGGCGAGCATTTAAATTATTTATTTTCTCGTTTCGTACAAGGGATATCAGCCGCTTATTTATCATTCGAAGGGAAGATTTATTCACGTCCGTTCCAAAAAAATGGAAACTCTCGTCTGGAAATTAGAAAGATGCTACGTTGAAAGGATCATTAATTTTTATTGAATGCATTACGAGTGTCTGATACACTGGCTAATCGATTTGAAACGAAGTAGCTGTGTCGCGATTATTGCGCAAGAATAATCGAATGTATGCACCACGTGATTCAGTGGACCGTGTCAAAAGAACAGGCAAACAAAACACACGCTCCGATGCTATGTACAAAAAGTATTTGCAGTATTTATATTTGTTGCAGCATTTACACGATTATGTGGATCTAAGTGACTGTATTGTAAATCTCTTTTATAAAGACCTATATTAAATTTCACAAAATTTAACACGCTACGAAAATGAAATGCAGACCATTGTAATGTAATAAAGAAATTAAAAAATATGTGCATATCCTCTTTTAGTCACAAATATAAATATATATATATATAAATTATATAAATAATAATATAACAATATAATAATATATGTAAGTTATATAAACAATAATATAAATTTTACAGAAATTTACAAAATAAAATCTGAGCACTGTGCACGTGAATACTGTGTCTATTATTTCAGTCGTAAAATGATACAAATTTTACAAAAGTTTGCAAAATAGACTCTGAGACACTTAAACGTTTCATCAAATGCAAAAACACACGCAATACTTTTTTGAAGTGAGGTACAACAGTTAGAAATTACAGGTTACAACGTAAATTATAAATCGTAGCAACAAAATATCCACGTCCATGAATATATGCGATTAAAACGAACAAAACTGAAGAAAATATTCTGCAACGTTCTACGTTATATTTCTGAGGAAAGATCAACGAAAAGAACGAGCTAGGATGAAAGAGATCCGAGACTCGATCGAGTTTCAGAAGGCAGAAGCTTCCAACGAGCAATATAAGAGGGAGATTTCCCACCGAAAATCGCATCGAATGGAACGTGACTTGTCGCTCAGTACAACGTCGAATTTATGGATCCTGTCTGTGGCCGTGGGATTTATGGGAATCCAATGCCTTAATTGGAAAATTATAGGACAATGTCTGGAAGTGGACCGTTCAGCCCGCAACCCGTTACTCAACGCGTATAATCGACCCCCGGCCATTTATTTCACAATCACGCCGCCGATATTTTCTGTCGCGACAAGGAAGCTAGATATAACCACGAAATTATTACTAACCACTGCTCGAGAGAAAGAGAAAGAGCGAGATCAATAATTGGGATTTTCGTTAAATTCCCGCCGGTTAATCGTGGAAAATGTATCAGAGATCAGACACAGATCGGATTTGAGAAAAAGTTTCGATGCCAATTTTTTCGTTTCGCGTAATTATATTTTTTGTTCAAGTTCGAAAGAATTCGAAACCGCACCGTGGGAATAGGAATTTTTGCTAAAGCGAAACGTTTGCGATAAGATTTCTGAAAGGGAAATTTTAGAACAATAAAATTAATTTGTTTTTCAAATCTCAGATGAGATTTACTCGCTGTACGGTGAAGTAAATGTACTTAACCTTTATTTAGATGCCAAGCTTTAATGCTAGTTTAATAAATTTATAAATAATTTTAGAATAATATGAAAGTTTTAGAATAATGAAAGTTTTGTAATAAAATTTTGGTTCCTATGACATTACCAAAGATTTAATAAAGGAGGTAATATCTTAGAATTCTGCCGAGAAAGAAAGAAATAAATTATTGAATACACGGGAATGAAAAAGTGCTTCGTCGGAGCTTTGTCTTTCTGCTCTTACCCCCGCCACTTCTCCCACGTAACATTTATCTTCCACATTCGTCATATCGAAGCTCATTGTTGCGCTCCCTTTTTCAGTTCGCGACGATTAAGTGAAGTTGCCCGATGAATGATCGATTCGATTATACCCGACAGCGATAAATAATCGAATTGGCCGCGGCTCGAGTTTGAGATCGAAAGTGAATGCAATGGAAAGAAAAGAAGAAAAAAAAAAAAATGAAGGAACATGATCTTCTCTGAATGGAACAAGAAACATTTATTCGTTCCAGTTCAAACTTCGATTCGAGTTTAATAAAAACCGATCTGCGTCGCGCCGATATTTGCACGTCCGTATATTCGGTCGTTTACTTAATAAAACAAATTGAGAATAAAAATTTTCGGCGAGGTAGAACAGAACAGAGTGAAGCAATATCTTTGACTGCGATATCTACCTTGATGAAAATCTCGATGTTTCTTTTTATTTTATAGAGAGAAATCTAAACGAAAGAAATGAGAGAGAGAGAAAGAGAGAGAAATGAAAGCAGGTAGAGCAATTAGTCGAAATTTGCATAAGCTTACCCAATGAGGTGGCGGCACACAAAACGTGTAGCTGGTGAACCAAAATGGAGGCCACCACGGCCGAAAGACGACTCAACATCGTAGTCGATTCTCAACTCATCTCTGTTTCGAAAGTTGAGACGCGGCGCCTCTCGTCTTCCTTCTGATCTGAAATTTTCATAAACGACAAGCTATTATTATCATCATCATCATCATCATTATTATTATTATTATTATTACTAATACTATTATTATTATTATTGACATTTAGTTTGGTAGCACTGTTAATAAACATTTCCAAAACAAAAATGCCCAAACACGCAGATTCACGCTCAAAGTACTAAGGACTTAAAATACCAAGGACTTAAAATCCTCGCGTCAATTTAATTTCCTATCAATACCGAAGGAAATGTTATTTACATCTCTCTAAACATCCAAAATAAAATACACACCCAGAAATCAATATATTCCGTGACAAAATTGGCAGAGGCAAAGTTTCACCTGAGAGAGATTGAAGTTGATTTCGAGTTTTAGAAATTCGAACGAGGGAAAGTCAGGCGTGTCTTGCCTGTTTGAAAGTTTGACGGGAGCTTTTCAATAAAAAATTGAAGCCTCCCCCTCGCGGTGATAATAAAGCCAGAACAGCGACATACTACCACGTCGAGGAACCGACGCGGACAATTGAATCTTATCGCCGGATAATTAAAGATAAAGCGCGGAACACAAGACGAATGTGGTCGTTAATTATACTCGGGCTTGCCCCGTTGGTGCACGATGTCAAACGATCCGGTGCAAGCCTACCCGAAATCCCCCTGGACTTGGAAATAACACCTCCGGGTTGCCTGGGGCTGACCCAATCGGGGTTCACGAGACACAAAGCCTCTCTCTAGCCAGAGATCAATGCGTTACTCAGCGCCAATCTCCCTCTCGCCCTCTCCCGATCCTTCCCTCTCTCTCTCTCTGTCTATCTATCCGAGTATATCCTCGCACAAAAATCTCAAAAAACGTTTCGCATTGTTATTTTGACGATTACAAGGGAAAATTTGAATGATTTTACTCGTTTGTGCGATCACTTTTGTGTGATCAAGGCGAAAGATCTCGTATATACTGTACTGCATTTGACAATTATTTCAATTCTCAAGCGTTGAGTTCAGCATTCCGGAGGTCTTAGAATCTTTGGAAATTTTCGAGCTTTTAAGACTAAAATTCCCAACTTTTGCATCTCGGGATCTTTGGAATTTCCAAGCCTGAATCGCTGAATTTTCATACTTTCGAAACTCTTACATTCCCGAGTTCTTGACACCTAGACTTTTAAATTTCGAGATTTCTAAATTCTAGGCGAAATTCCTGAATTCTAAATTCGAAACTTCTGACCTTTCAAATTTCTGAACGTCTGAATTTCTAAATTTCAAAGTTCCGAGACTCCTAAATTCCAAAATTTTTGAATATCCAAGTTCTTGATTCTTCGTGTTCCTAAACACCCAAATTCCTGAACTTTTTATTCTGAAATTCTAAAGCTCTTGACTTTTCGAATACCTAAATCCCCAAATTTCTAAATTTCTAAACCCCAGAACTATTAAATATCTAAATTTTTGCGTCTCCGGAATCTCAAACCCGCAAATGCCTCAATTTCCAAATTTCTAAATGTGCAAATCTCCAAACATCTTTCTAAACTTTTAATTTGTTTCTGAATTCTCAAATTTCTGAATTCCTAAATCCTTCAATTCTTCAATTGCCAATGTGTTTACATTTTTAAATTGCTAAATGCCTCGATGTCCAAGTTTTGAAAAAAAAAAAAAAAAGCAAATTCGTCAATTCTCCATATAGTCTCTGCACAATTTTAAAATATCCCGAGACTTTTGAACGAGGGTGTATACTCGTCCCAGAAAAAAAGAAACGAGCCGGATCAACAGTTTTACACACCGACAAACCCGTCTCTACACTATTCCGACGTCCCACTTTTCCTGCAAATATTACCTTAATGAATTTCCAACGGAAAATTGGTTCCCCCAATTTTTCCAAATTCACATTTCGTCCGAATTATGCAGAATGGAAGAAAGAAAATGATCCGCGACGCGATGAAAATTTGAAACTTTACGCGCGGGCCTCGTAATGAAGGTACGCTGTGAAATGCTTGTCTGTTCTTTTCAAGTGTCAACAGTATGAAATTAGATCGAGTTGAAAGCTCAGCCGAATGAAACAGCAAGTTCAACGTGACGAAGAATTCCGTATGATCAACTGAATTTTCGTACGGACACTTTCCGAAGTGTTACAATTTTAATTCGATGCGCGAAAATGAAATAAAATATCCTTCCAAATAAATGACATAACGCAAGTTAACATGTAACAAAGAACATATCGATAAATATCAATTGTGTGTCGAGTGAATGGTCATGGTCTAAATTTACTGCTCGATAGTTCTCTACTGTAATATTATTCGTTATTCATATTCAGCATTTCTTCGATCGCGGTCGCGACGTTGTATCGGTTGTACTTTATTTTTTTTTTTTTTTTTTTCTCTGAACACTCAGAAACAAACAATTTACAAGAGAGAGAGAGAGAGAACATTCGCAGCGAATAAAGACGCGCGCGTGCACCGTGCACCCTGGCTGAATAATCCGGCCGAGCGTATCGAGAAACGTTTAAAAAAAACGCGCGATCGAACAATGAAGCACCCCGGGAGGACCAATTTACCCGGTCGTTCCGCAAAGAACTCGCAGGAAGAACGAAACTCGTCAGCCGGACAAAGCGACTGCGACCTCGCCCTCCCCATCTCCACCCGCCGCTTTGAACGACGTACATACATATACGTACGTACGTACGTACGTACGTATACGTATGTAGACTCAAAGGCCGCGGCAAATCAGACGGTCGGTCGAAGTCAAATAGAAGATTGTTACCACGAAATTCCGTGTGATTCAATTTGACCGGAAGTTCAACCGAAAACACGCCTCCCTCCCCCTCCAAACGCCGCTGAATTTCCTGCTGCCATCCTAATGAATCTATCGGCAACTCTTGAACTCACCCCTGCCTACCACCACCCCACTAGCCAAAGGACGCTGTTGGTCTGTAGCTTCGCAGAACCTTTCAGCCGGGAGGTAGGGCCGTATCCTAAATTCGGACACGTGAGCGGAAGTCTTTACGGTTCGCCCGGCGGAAATCGTCTCGCAGCGAAAATTTTACGAATTTGAAGCAGGTAGGTTGAAGCAGCTCTCGATCATCGAACTGGGATCTTCCTCCGGGATCTTTTCTTTTTGAGGGGGAAGAGAGGGACTTGTGTATAAATTCGTACGGGATTTTTTGACCTCAAATTTCTTGGGGTTCGGGGGGAGGTTGCGCTGGCAACTGATTGCGGACCGTAACGAGGGACCCAAACCGTGTGCAATAATTCGTCGCTTTCTTTTTTTTTTTTTTTTTTTTTTTTTTTTTTTTTGACATCGTCGGTACATGACATCACTGGATAGAAATCATTGAGAAATAATAACTAATAATAGGTAAATTTATTTTAATGGAATAAATATTATTTGTTTCGCCTGGGTTATATTTAAATATGCTTGAAACTCGGGGAATATTTTGGGGCAAAAAACGTCTCGACGTCATTTCAGCGCAGGAGGTTAATTTTCTAATGTTGGTAATTCGGATTCTATGATTTTCGTAGATTTAAACGACACTGACAGAGTGGAAATTTTCATCTGTAAATAGGGAATTTAGAAATAAGACGCGAGTCTATAAAATTCGTACAAATTGTAAAAATACATGAAACATCCAAAGTAAAGTACTTGATATATATATTTACTACAATTTCTGATTAAAATACATTCTTTTCAATCGCGTTTGAAAATTTCAAATTGCACAAAGATCCGCAGATATTACTATATATGTACATATTGCGATATACCATACACTGAATATTAATGACAACAATTTAACAATTTTCATATACTTTAGATAGGCTGAATATATTTTATGTGTCACGTGTTGATATCGTTCACATAATTATAAGATTTAGTACTGTTCGAGCAAAATACGAATGCACAAATCTTCTAAAGAGTTAATATCTTCCAAGTTTTGACAGAATTTTTGGATAGGAGAGTTTGACTTACAATAACAAACAATAAGTTTTCATTAACTCTGTATGAAAGTATATATAGGTTGAAAGTGTTGGATCAATTATACGATAAATAACTTTTGGCGATTTAAAATTTACTACATGATCAGAAATTAGGTCGAAGAGAAAGAATGAAAACTTTTTCACTCGGTATTATAACTAGTGACGTTCACAGTACGTATGAAATATTTATAATATCGCGACGAACATGAGCGTCTGCTAATACACGGTGCAACCAGAGTACGAACAATTTCTTCTCGGCCCCGTCCCCGCGGAAGCTATCCTAACAGCTGTCGTTTCTACCCGGAAAGTTTCAAATTATTTTCGATGTCTCATGCAGGTGGTACTCGCGCGACAAGTGGCAGTTGCGCGAATGAAAAAGTTTCACCACGGTGAGCAACAAAATCCGCGTGATAGTGCAGAAAATAGACGAAGAACAGCAGACGTTTCGCTTCCATCTCTTTTCTCTTTTTTCCGTTTATTCAAAAAAATGGAAGGAATTAAGGGTCAGAGAAAAAAAACTATATCTACGTTACGTTTTTTAAACCAAATACTTTTTAACAAGATAGTAGCATTGATATATATATATATATATATATTAGAGTATAATTTGCTTTCTTCCATTTTTAGTATTTTTGTTTACAGATTATTTTATGATGCAACGAACTGAAAATCAAACTTAAGAGTTACGTTCAAATTTCAAGTACTTAAAATGGTTGTTCCTGAAATTGTGAAATGAGTGTTTAAAAACAGTTTGAAGATAGTTGTGGTTTTCGTAAAATACTTGAAACAGTTGTACAAACAATCTATTCACGACTCTGTGTATTTCTCTATTCTGTTCAATAGGAACAACGAGTCAAAAATTAGCATTAACATTATCACGAAAAGCATCGAAGCTGGATAAAGGTGTCGATGGTTCCTTAATAAAACATTGGAGGATACTGGTTTTAACGGAGAACGCGGATAAGCGTCTGTGTGTTGGATTAATGAGAAGCGGTAATGCGCGTGATATTGTGATGCTTACGTAACATTAATGCACTCAATTATTTATAGCAGGTAC